GAGCCCAGCGGGTCTTGGGATCGAGGCCCGGAAGTGCCAGAACGAGGCCTCGGCGGGGCCCGAGACGGGGGAAAGGAGCAAGAGGGCAGGGCAAGAGAGGCGCGTCGAAGCTGCCACTGGAAAGCGGCTACGAAGCCATGGCAACATTGCCAAGGAGGAGCAGGAGGAGGAGGGGGAGAATGGGCAGCAGGGTGACGCGAGGGGAGGGGAAGGAGAGGCGCAGGGGCAACCACAAAGGCCATCTCTTCCGAGGGCCACCCTGGCATTGTTTTTCAGTGTTTTTATGGGAAGCCTCTGTGGCTCTCTCAGGGCCCTCTCGCGGAACCTGGGGACCCCTGCGAGTTGCTTCGGGGCTTCGAGGGGCCCGGTTCGGGGTCCAATTGAGGCACTGTTGGCCTGCTTCGGGGTCCTCTTGCAGCTCTGTGGGCGCCCTTGAGGAGCAGGTGGAGGGGGGCCTGGAGGAGAGGAGAGGGATGATCAGGCGGGGGAGGACGAGAAGGATAATGGAGGAGGACTTCGGATGGGAAACGAAGACGAGGGAGCGAGGAAGGGAAGGATGAGGAGGGAGCGTGGAGGAGGAGGAGGAGGAGGAGGAGCAGCAGGAGGAGGAAGGACCAGTGTAAACCGAAGACGCATCAATGATGCTGCAATGAACCCTCCCTCAAAGTGCCCTCTTCACAGATCCCTACAACAATTTCTGCTCGTTGCGGGAAGGAGGTGGCCCACTAGAAGACACCCGACTGATAATCCTCAATCGTGCCAAACCGCAATCCCAGTTTTAGATCGCGCCAGCGCACCATGCCAGGGATTCCAACCATACGAGTATTTTTAAACGGTCGCAGGTTTTTAAGACGAATGTGCACGGCGCTAAAGCGAGAGCCACATTTTGAAAGGGAACCACCTTGCACCCTTGAAAGTGTTGCAACATTTCAAGACGAATGTGCGCGGCGCTGTGGCGAAAGCCATATTACATAACACTTGTCCTCCATATGTGATTACCGTTGAAGATGTTGCAAACTATGAAGACGAATGTGTGCGGCGCTATGGCGAGAGTCTCATTTTAAAACGGTCGCGTTCTCCATGCGTACAATTGTTGTGCACATGTCCAGTTTCAGGAGCATACATCATGAGGAAGTCTCATGCGAAACGCCTGGCCCGCCCTACTGACACGTGTGGGGGTGCGACAGTGAGGAATTACTTATGAGGGAAATGAATGGAGAAGGAGGAGGAGGAGCAGGAGCAGGAGGTGCAGGAGGAGCAGGAGGAGCAGGAGGAGCAGTTCTCTTATCCCTCGTCGTCCACGTCCCCATTGTCCTCCACTTCCTCCCCTAAACAGCGGCCTGCCCAGGGTGGATGGTCGTCGCGCTTGCAGAACGCCACAGCCGAGGCCAAGGAAGCCAAGGGGGGGCAAAGACGACGAAGGCGGCGGCGGCGAAGACTGTGGAGAAGGCGGCGACGGCATTGGTGATAACGACGGCGGCGACGACAAAGGCGCCGTGAGCGGCTGGGGCCCGTGAGGCCGTGGCGCGGCGCCGCTGGCCTCGGGCACGCGTGCTGGGCCTGGCAGTTCCGAAGCCGTGGCCACCGTGGCCCAAGCCGCGCGCGGGCGGACGGCGGCTCGAGGGGCATGCTGGCCATCGACGAGGGCGCGGCCCCCGCACGCACGGGCTGAGCGCGGTGAGAGAGGCCGGCCCTGGCCTGGATGCCATGCCCAGCGCCGAGGGCCCCAGCGCCTCGGGCCGGGGCGGCGGCCCGCGCGCCGGCGGTGTCAGCGCGGAGGGCCCCGTCGGCGCCGGGCGCCTGACCTCCGCAGCGCCCTGGCTGCAGCACGGCGCTGCCGGCCCCACGGCCGCCGCCCAGGCCCGCGGGAGCAGCCCAGCCGCCCGCTCCACGGGGGCGGCCTGCGGCCGCCCGCAGGCCGCGGACCAGGGCGCCAGCCCGCGCGCCGGGGTGCTGCCCACGAGCCAGGGCCTCGCGCCGAGGGGGCCGTGGCGGCACGGGCGGCTCGGCGCCCTGGCCGCTTCGGCTATGCTCTGCCTCTGCGCTGCCGCTGGCATCCTGGCGCTGCCGCCGCCGCAGGGCGCTGTCGCTGAGCCACGCCCTGGCGCCCCAGAGCCCGCGGGCGTGGCGGGCTGCGCCCCGCAGCGCGGAGGCGAGCCGGAGCGCGCAGACGTGCTCCAGGCACCGACGGTGCCGAACCAGATCCCGCCGATCCAGGAGCCAGACGATGACACGCCGATCCATTTGGAGGTCTCGGCCTTCTTGGATGGCGTGCGCTGTGCTTGGACGTTGCGAAGGGCGCTGGAGAAGGCCGCATTCCCCGACAGAGTGTCGTTCACCGTGATCCAGGCCCGGGGCTTGGAGCACGAGGACTGCGTGGCTCTCTTCCGTCACGTGCACTTGCCGCAACTGTGCGGGGAGGGCGGTATCAGCAGAGCCAGGGTCGGAGCGCGGTTCGGTGCCAGATTCGCTTCGGACTCCGCAGAAGGGTGCCAGCAGAGCCATGGCCGTTCAGCCTCCCCCGAAGGGCCGCGGGACCCAGGAAGAGCCGACCAGGCCGAGAAGCAGCAAAAAACGGCGGCCCCCTGTCAATGCAGTTTTTTCTTTTCGTTTGCCTGGGGGCCTGCCTGCTTGTTCCCAAGGCCCCCCTGCTCCCTCGGGGCGTCCGAGCGGCCATGGCGGCAGAGGGTGCTGCAGCGATCGCGCGGGTGGCTGCTCACCCCCGAGGCTGGGCAGGGGCCGGTGCACACGCGCGGGGTGGCCGCGAGGCTGATGGAGCCACAAAGCCCAGACGCCATGTGCCTGAACATCGACGCTCACATGGGAAGAAGAAAGAACGGTACAGCGTTTTCTTCGTCGGCGGCGAGGCAGAGGCAGTCCGCTCCAGCGTGTGGCTCTTCGGGGCAACCGAAAGGCGAATTGATCGGCGCCCCGCGCCGCCCTCGGCGCGCTCCTCGCGCCAGGAGGGGGGGTGCAGCGCCGATCCGAGAAAGTTGCGCGGCCCCTGGGCCATCTGTGTTTGCAGTGCAGGCGCTGACGCAAGGATTCGTTTGGGCTCAGGAGGGGCTCCACTGTTCGGGCCGTTCCTTAGCACTCGGTCGGGGGAATTGTTCATGGCCGACATTCGCAGTTGCCAGACCAGCCCCTTCGTTCCTCATGCAGCGTTCCTTTTGGTAGCACAGTGACTGTGTGCCGTTCTTGTTTTCTTCTGCACATGGACTTCAACGTCGGCTGGGACGTCACCCTGATCAGGGACTGGTTGGCTGCCCAGAACGAGTTTGCGGTCATGACCGTGTACCCGGAGGATGTGCACAGGGTCGACGCGCCCCCGATGGTCGACAAGGCAGGGGCCGACCTAAACGGTGTTTGGGCGATTTCGCGGGCCGTTTCCGTTTCGGCCTCGTTTGCAGCAGAGGCGGACTGGAGACAAAGCGAGGGAAAACGAGCACAAACCGAATACGAAAAACACCGTTTATCGGGTTGACCCCAAAGGGGGTCCAGCGACAAGGGGGTGGTGCAATAGATTTGGTGCAATAGATTTGTGGGGTTGCAATACATTTGGGGCGTGCAATACATTCCGGGACGCAAGTGAATTGCTGGATTTCCGCGTGCAATACATGAATGGCAATACAACGCAATACAACTTTCCAGCGCAGTACATTTGCAATCCCATTGCCCCAAATCTATGGCACCACCCCCTTTCAGCTGGACCCTTTTTGGGTCATCCAAAGTTTAGGTCGATCCCCGCGACAAGGTCGTGACGACTTGCGGCTACACGCTCGAGGAGTCGAACGAGAAAGACCGGCGCAGACACGAGCATTTCGGATCTCCGCGCAGATGCCGTGGGTTGGGGAGAGGGCCGCCCAGGGCACAGTCCGAGCTCGCCGTGGAGGGGTTCCAGCGCCGAGCCAAGAAATCCGCGGGGAGCTCAGAAATGGCGTGATCTCAGCTTCGGGAGGCGGAGGAGGAGGAGGAGGAGGAGGAGGAGGACGAGGACGAGGACGACGACGAGGATGAGGAGGCCCCTTATTCCTCACCTCCAGGGCTTCCTCCCCTGGAAGTGTAGGTTTCTGCAGCTTGGTCTTCCTCCAAGGAGGGCATCCCCCGCGGCAGGCGCGCCCGGGACTGGGCGCGGAACCGCGCGAGCGTGAGGACTCAGACGAGGAAAGTGTACCGATACCGCTACCCTTCCCTGGCCCTCCTCCTCCTCCTCCTCCTCCGCCTCCTCCTCCTCCTTTCCCTCCTCCTCCTCCCGCCCCACGTGCTCCCCCCCCGCCCGCCACACTGCTCTTAGGGGCGTCGGGGGCGGGCCACTCAGCTTGGAGCATCGCGCCGCGCGGGGGACACGATGCGCAGTCATCTCTTCGGACTCGCTCGCCCTCCCTGGCTCCGGATCTTATATTGCATCTTCCAGGGACCTCGCATGTCCCCAAGATTGGGTGTCTTGTCTTGGGCCGACGCGGGCTCCATGCAGACTCGACGCGGATTTGGCGTGGGTTCGACGCGGATTCGACCCGGATTCGACACGGATCCGACGAGTTCGACGTGGGTGCGACACGGATTCGACGCGGATAGGGCCGCGACGGGACAGACAAGGTTCCTTGAGGATGCAACGTAACGGATCCGCCGTACGTTGGGCGATTTCGAAAGTAGGGCGGATGGTTGCGCACTACCTTTCCAAGCTCTTTTGATGCCGATTTCCGCCGCGCTTTGCCGTCGCTGTTTCCTCCATAGCTTTGCGGAACTGGCCACCCTAGTTTTCTTGAGGCGGGAATGTCCGCGCCACTTGTTGTTCGCATTTTTTAGGGGGCGCATTTCCGATACAGTTGCAAGTTGGACAATCAACCATTGCACGGCGGATTCGGAGTCGGGGCTCCTTCGGTTTGAACTTTATGGGCTTCCTGGGAGACCCTCGTCGCCACGGCTGGATTCGCTTCGACATTTTGGTCAGGGAGAGGTCCAGGGAGTAGCGGTATCGGTATGTTTCCGTCTCCCCAAGGATGCCGTTGCTAACTCCGAACTGGGCCGCGGGCTTCTCGTTCCACCGTTGCCACGCGGAGAGGCTCGTGCCAGTGGATTGGCGCCTGCGCTGGGTCTTCACAGGCGAGGAGGTCAACCGTGCCGTCCGCCTGTGGACCCACGGCTACGACCTGTACGCGCCCACGGTCGAGACCGTGCTCCACAACTACACCAACGCGGTGCAGGAGTTCCAGCAGTTTGGGGATGCTCACCGCCAGTTCCTCCAGAAGCAGAGGTTCGGCGGCGAGCCCGGGGGGAAGTAGTGAGGAGCAGGCCTCCTCGGAAGGCTCGGAAGTCCCCCGGCCGTCTGAGAAGTTTTCTAAAGAGTTTTCTAAGCCTTCGCCGAAGACACAGCAAGCTTCTCAGAAGGCCCGAGGGCTTCTGAGAAGCCCCGCCGCCTTCTGTGAAGGCCTTCTCCCTCTCACTTCCCCCCCTCGCCCGTCGCCGAGAGGTCCCAGAGGCAGATCAGGAAGCTCCTGGAGACCCTGGACGCGGAGGACCTGGTCGCGGAGGAGGCGAACGGGGAGCCCGAGGGCCTTGGGCCGTACGGCCTTGGGGGCCAGAGGATCGGAGAAGGGCCCGTCGAGACAGCTGCGGCTCCCCCGCCCGACCTGGGTCCGTTCCAAGCCCGTCCCGCGGCCCCTCGCGAGCTCGATCCCGACCCGTTTTTTTCGAGGCGGATCCGGCCGTGGCGACGAGAAGCTTCGAGGAGGCCCAGGAAGGACGAAACACGCCACAGGGAGAGCTGCCGTTTTCTCGACGGGCCCCGCTCCGAGAGGAGCCTCGAGGATTTTGTGATGTGGTCACGGGCGAACCTCGGCGGCAAGTGGGCGCGCGCGCTCTCGAACGCCTCGGGCCATGTGCAGGACACGCGCGACGACGCCTGCCTGCATCTGCTGCGGCGCCCCATCAGGGACCCGGGGGCGCTCCTGGAGAGCCTGCGCTCCATCTCCATGGACGGAGGGGGGGTCGGGCAGGTGAGGCCAAGCGGGGTCACCTGGTAAGGCTTCGGGCTGAGTGCGGACAGGGCCCCCCCAGGTGGTCCCAGCTGGCCTCAGCAGGCCCCCCGGGAAGCCGCAGCTGGCCTCAACGGGCTCCCCGAGTAGTCAACACCTGGGCGCCGCCTCCAGCGGCGCCCTTGGGGCGCTCCGCGCCCCAGCGTTGCGGCGTTGCGACCGCCCTGCGCTACTCGGGGGGCCTGTTGAGGCCAGCTGGGACTACTCGGGGGGCCTGCTGAGGCCAGCTGGGACGATCTGGGGAGGCTGTCGTTGCGCAGCCCGAAGCCTCATCCTGGTCACCGCTACAAGTCCCGTTGCAGTCCACGAAGCAAGATTGAAATCGCGCCGTGGGGAGCTAGTCTCGCCATCCGAAGCTGAAGCCAGTGCATCGAGGTGCGCGGGCGGTGAGGAATCCGGCCACGAGCCCAGCGCGCCCCTCAATCTTGAAGAGGCCGCGCAACAACGTATACTTGGCATCGCTCAGACGTTTGCACCGGCGTGGACCATCGAGGAGCATCCTGGATCACCGAGCCAAAAAACATGCACGAAATCGAAACATGCACGTGGCATGGACGTCCGAACGATAGCGAGAATAACGAGTACCCAATACGACTCTCCATTTTGCAGTGGCCGCTCAACAATGCCGCATCGTGAAAGCCGCCCAGTGGCGTCGCGTCGACTGCGACGAGAACTGTAGGGGTCGCCTGCGAGGGTCGAGGCCCGAGAAGGTCCTTGGACGGTATCGGTCGTTCTGCCGGCCCCTGGGTTCTGATGGGTCTGGGGACCCCAGATTCCTTAGGCACGTGGCGCCCCCCCTTGGTGATGACCCCCCTTGGCATGGCATTTCCTGGCCGGGAGGAGCGGAGGCTGGAGGAGGAGTCGGAGGGCACCAGCTGCACACCTACACCGAGCCTGGTCGGCGGACTCTGGGCCCAGGATCGATGCCTATAGATGCTTCCCTGTCCGAGGCAGCAACGCGTATACTCCACGGATCCTGGGCCCAGGATGAGCCTGGCCAGGATCGGTGCAGGTGTATAGCCAGCACCCTCCTCGAGGAGGTGGAGTGGCGGCAGCAGGGGCAGGAGCAGGGGAGGGGTGAGGGGGAGGACGAGGGGGAGGAGGAGAGGCAGGGGAAAGGGGAGGAGGAGAGGAGGAGGAGGAGGAGGAGGAGGAGGAGGAGGAGGAGGATGATGATGATGATGATGATGATGAAGATGATGATGATGATGATGATGATGATGATGATGATGATGATGATGATGATGATGATGATGATGATGATGATGATGATGATGATGATGATGATGATGATGATGAGGAGGAGGAGGAGGAGGAGGAGGAGGAGGAGGAGGAGGAGGAGGAGGAGGGAGGAGGAGGAGGAGGAGGGGAGGAGGTGGAGGAGGAGGGGGAGAAGGGGGAGGAGGAGGAGGAGGAGGGGGAGGAGGAGGAGGAGGAGAGGAGGAGGAGGAGGAGGAGGAGGAGGAGGAGGAGGAGGAGGAGGAGGACAAGGGCAGAGGAGAGCGGGAGGAGGAGGAGGAGGAGGATCACGAGGACCGCGCCCCGCGGGTCGCGGCTGGCGTGGGAGAGCACGTGTGGCTCCACGGCGAGGAGAGCGTGGTCCGCCCATTTCGGGTGCTCTGACCGCCAAGTATCCTGGCTTCGGAGCAACAGTTGCAGAAACATGAACTTCCGGCGCTCTGCGCGAATTTCTGGGATCGGCGCTGGGACCCCCTGGTGGCGCCTCCGGCGCCGCCCCTGGCGCGCTCCGCGCCAGGGAGGGGGGTCCAGCGCAGATCCAAGAAATCTGCGCGGACCGTCGAAAGTTTGTGTGGATGTATTTTTGTCTTCCTCAATTCCTGCGCCTCAGCGATGGCATCCTGCGGAGAGGGAGATTTACAACGTAGGTGGGCATCGCCGTGGCCACGAAGCAGACGGCTCCTGAAAGAGACGGGTCCTGAGATGTTTCGCCGACTTGGGCCTCCCGAGGCTCTCCACCGGCCCCAGGGCTGTCAGAGGACGGCTCAGGACGAAACGCGGAGGCGGAGGAGGCGGAGTCAAGACCTCCGCTGCGAACAAGGCCTCCATGGATCGGGCTTTGAGGGCGCCGCCGTGGGGGGTTTACGGGCGGCGGACTGGCCAGTTCGATCAGGACGAAAAGCTGGTGCTGGAGGGAGGCCCCAGGCTCCAAGGCCCGTTTCCCTCAGGACGCCTTTGGCCAACGACGATCATGGCACTGTCCGCCAACGCATTGCCCGCACAGTCATCCACCTCGTCTGGTGAGGTCTCCCCGAGCGGCGCTTGCACTCGGGGGCTCCTGGTTGCGCCTGTCAGGAGCTGGCCTTGCAGTCTGGGTTCACACACACACAGCGTTCCACACGGTTCCAGATGACTACGTGGCTCCTTCTTCAAGGCTTCCAGATGAGAGCAACCCAGTACCGCCCCGCTCGACGGCGCGCTCCGCCCCTCCCCCCCGCTCCAAGCGCGCCAAAGCCACACCCCTCGCGGTTCAATCCACGAACGCTTTCCGGATAGCCTTAAGTCGGGCATGTCCCTCTACAGGAGAAAATTCAAGAATGGTTAAAAGTAGTCTGATGACGTTTTTTGTTTTCGAGTTGTTTGCGAATGATGTGATTTGTTTTGGCTACGTAGTGTTTTCTTCCAAGATCCGCCTGTAGGGGGACATGCCGACCTGATAATAGCTCCATCCCACCCCCCACGCTTGTGAAATCATCCAGGGCACATAGGTTTCCACGCGCCTCAGGCTCCAGCTCCACACACATCATGACTTGGGGCCCACGCGGCAGCAACACCACGTTGTGCCAGAGGGCTGATTGAGCAGGACGGGCTTAGAATCGAGATGGATCCGCTCTAGAGCGTTCCGGAACGCTCTCGGAGCGTTCCGGAATTCCCCGAGGAGGCCGCGGCGCCCCGATACACCTTCCAACCCCGCCGAGTCTCAGAGGTCTCAGAGATCTCCTTTTTCAATCGGTCCGATGTTGTCTCGATCCTGCTCCCGTCGTGCAGACCGCCCGCCTTGCGGATTCGATCCGCGAGTCGCCTTTTCTTCCCAGTTCTCGAGAGGGCGGTGCGGCCGCAGCGTTTTTGCGGGCCCGCGCCCGCAGGGTCCTGGCCCCGAGTCGTTGTCGCTGACGGGTGTCTTGCCAAAGGGGGCTCTGCCCATTCTCAGAGCAGTCCTCATCCTCCTCCTCCTCCTCTTCCTCCTCCTCCCAGCCCGCATCGTAAGGATGGGCAACCGTCCCCATGGTACCCTTGCATCCTTGCCTCCCGCGGCCCATCCTTGGCCGCTTTCGCTGGCCGCGCCCCGCTCACAGAGTGTCGACATGGCCCTCCAAGGCCCTTGCATCCTTCTCGCGCATCCTTCTGACACGGGTCGACTGTGCTGATGGGTGCCTTGCCGAAGGGGGTTCTGTCCATTCTCGATTGTGTACGACAGGCATCTGACATTCGAAGAACAAGAAACGGCATAAACGTAAATTCCCGACGGTCCGCGCGGATCTTTTGGGTCCGCGCTGGGCCTCCTTAGCGCCTGCAGCGCCGCCCCTGGCGCGCTCGGCGCGCTGGGGAGGGTTTTCGAGTCATGATGCAAGAAATCCGCGCGGACCGTCGAGAGTTTGCCGCTTTCTGCCCCTCTGGAAAGAGGGCACCGGCCTGCCGAAGGATGCCCCCATGGCAGTCTCTCACTTCCCGCAGGGGCCGCAGAGCCCTGAGGCACCTCACGAAGCTCAGCGTCGACGAAGGACGTGCCCCCCGATCTCTTGCGGCAGGAGCTCTCACCCGCTGTGCCTGCTGTGCCTGCTTCCTCCTCGTCTTCGCCCCGACGCCAGCAGCCCGCCCTCCGTGCGGGAGGCCTGCCCCCCCGGCCGCCCTGCGCGCCCGGGCGCGCGCTCCTCGGAGGCGCGCGCTCCTCGGAGGCGCGCCTCCGCTCCGAGAGGCGAACTTTTTTACCGCAACCGGCGCCAGCGCCCGTGCTTCCTCGAGCCTCTTCTTGCGCTCCTCCTCGTCCTCGCTCTGCCTCCTCCTCCTCCTCGCTCCGCGCTCCTCGCTCCTCGCTTCTCGTTCCTCCTCGCTCCATCTCCTCGTTCCTCATCGCTGCTCCAGCCGTGTCGCGTCGAGCTCGCCGCCGCTGGGCCGCCGCGCCCGCCGCGGGCCTCCGATGGCGGCGGCGACGGATCGCCGCGCGGCGCTGGCTGCGGCCCGTTGGGCCGCGCTGGCGGTGCATGGCGCTGCTGGTCCGGCGCGGGGTGCGGCGGCCGCCAGGCTGCTGCGCTCGGCCGAGGGCCTTGTTCGGGCTGCAGCGGCGATGCTCGAGGCGGAGCTTCGGGCAGCCTGCCCTGCGGCCGATGGTGGAGCTGATGGTAGAGGTGCGATGGGGCCGCCTGCAGCCCCCGCAGGCGACGCGCCGCCTGAAGGCCAGGAGCCTCGGCGGCGGCGGCGGCGGCGGCGGTCTCGCAGGCGCCGCGGCGCTGGTGCGCTGGCGCTCGCCTCCGCTCCCGACCTCGGCGACGGCGGCGGCAGCATGGTAGTGGACGGTGGCGTCCTGGAGGGCTCGCAGGTCGAGGGCGTCGTGGCCCCGACCTCACCCCTGGTGGATGACAGCTGGGCCGTCCTGCTCCCCGTGCGCCGCGCGGCGCCCGCCGTGGAGGCGGTGCGCCCTGCTGCGGCGGTTTCTGGTGGAGCTGCTGGTGCTGGGGCTGCCGCTGCTGCCCCCCCCACGGCCGTTTCGCAGACGACGTGGAGGATGAGGTGCGGCGGCGGGCGGTGCGCGCGTGGGCGGCGGCGATCATCCGAGGTGCAGGGTAATCGTCGTGGCCGTCCTTTTCACTGCCCAGTGGTGTCCTCGCCCCCTGTCGCACGGCCGTGGGGTGATGTCTCCCCTGCGGTGACAGTTGCTCAGGGGGCCGCCAACCTTTCTGCACAGGTTGCGCGGCAGGCACGGGGGAGGATTTGCTCTCCCCGACCGTATGCCCTGCTGAGGCACTGGACTGTTTTTCTCTTGCTCTGGCCACGGGGCGGTCGCCCGTCGTGTGGCCAGTGCCTCCTAGCCCATGGGGCTGCTGGAGGTACTCTTTCGGTCAGCGAGGCCTCCCTCACTGCCAGCAGTGGTTTCCCAGCCGCCACTGCTGTGTCCTTTTTCACCAAGGCTGCGCGGGCGTTGAGCTCAAAAAACAAAAACCTCATCGCTCATCCCCGTCCTCGTCCTCGCTCCTCCCTCGTCCCCCCCTCCTCCTGCTCGCAGCTTGTTATTAATCGGTCTCGCGCAGCACGGTACATGGCATATCCCAGGGGCCACGGCCTCCTCCACCTGGTCTTAGCTTGGCCTGGACGCCTGTCGGTCGCTCGATCCTCCTCCGCCGAGGTCCTCCTCCTCCTCCTCCTCCTCCTCCTCCTCCTCCTCCTTATCTGCTTTCTCCTCTTCCTCGCTCCTCCTCGCTCCTCCTCGCTCTTCCTCGCTCCTCCTCCTCCTCCTCCTCCTCCTCCTCCTCCTCCTCCTCCTCCGCCCCCTCGCTCCTTCTCGCTTCTTCCGCAGAGGACGGGCCCCGCAGGTCACCTGGATACGGGCCCCAGCAGGTCCGTCCTCTTTCATGCGCTCGCCGCCATCGGGCTCACGCTGGCCCAGGCCCAGCCCTTGGGGCCCCAGGCGGTGATGGCCCGAGCTCGACGTGAGCAGGAGCTGGAGGCCCTGCTCTACAGTCGGGCCGCGCAGCAAGGATGAGCAACTGTCCAAGGTTACCCTTTGCATCCTTCCCCTTCGGCCCATCCTTGGCCTTCCAAGGCCTTCCGAGGCCCTTGCATCCTTATCGTGGGTCCTCATTCTGCGGGTTGACTGTGGTGCGAGCTGGTGGTGCAGGATGCCTCCCTGGCTGGGTCCCGCCTCCTCGCTGCCTCCTCCCCCGTCCGTTCTCGAGGTCGCCGACGGGGCGCGAAGAGGATCGCGCCTCGCTTTTTGCGCCCTGGGCCGCAGAGGAGGCGCCCCGACTGCGCAAAGATGGCCGCTCATCGCAGGGCGCTCTGCGCGAAACTACTAAACCCAGGCCATCCTTGCTCCTCCTCCTCCTCCTCCTCCTCCTTTCCCTCCTCCTTTTCCTCCTCCTCCTCCTCCTCCTCCTCCTCCTTGCCCCTCTCCTTTTGAGTTCTCGAGTGTTTCGCGGCACGGTATATAGATGACCCCTGAAACGACGGCCTCATCCACCGGGTCTCAGACAGGCCTGGACGGCTGTCCGCACTGATGGTCGCTCGCTCGCTCGTTTGCTCCTCCTCCTCGTTGCTTTTGTTAGGTTTGCTGCAGGGTCTCGCGGACCCGACGCGTCAGCTCCTCCTCCTCCTCCTCCTCTTCTTCCTCCTCCTCCTCCTCCTCCTCCTCCTCCTCCTCCTCCTCCTCCTCTTCTCCCCCTCTCTACGCTGTGCTCTTCCTCCTCCTCCTCCTCCTCCTCCTCCTCCTCCTCCTCCATGCTTCTTCCTTAGAAGCAACCTCTCCCTTTTCCTTAGAAACAACTCCCTGTCACACCCCGTGAGGGGTCGGTGGGGCGAGCCGGGCGTTCCGCCTGAGACGTCCTCACCATTATGGCCTTGAAGCTTGAAGTTTGCAACAGCTTCACGGATGAAGGGCGTGTGGTTTTCAAAATGTTGTTCTCGCCGTAGCGCCGCGCATTTTTTTCTAGTTTGCAAGAGTTTCACAAACGGAGGGCGGTTCTTTTTCAAAATGTGGTTCACGCCTGACCTCCGCGCACATTTGTTCTAAATGTTTGCAGGGACTTCACGGATGGAGGGCGGGTCCTTTTCGAAGTGCGATTCTCGCTGCAACACCGCGCGCACTCGTCTTAACAGCTTACAACAGGTTCAGGGATTCTTCTGGTTGACGTCCCGGGAATGCAGTTTTGGCACAATGTTCAGAGTGTCAGGGCGCGACAGTCACGTGGATTTGCAGTGTTGACGTCCCAGTACTTAACGGTGTTCTGGCACGATTGAGGATCGTCAGGTTGCAACAGCGACATTGATTGACAGCGTTGAAGTCTCAGGGTTGTTTGCTTGTGGCGCGGTTGAAGATTTTCAGACGCTTGTCTTCCAACGGGGCCCTTCCCACAGTGAAAGTAGATTCTCATAGGAGCCTACGAAGAGACAACTTGGAGGGAGGGCTTATTGCAACATCGTTGATGAATCTTGGGTTTGCACTCCTCCTCCTCCTCCTCCTCCTCCTCCTCCTCCTCCTCCCTGGCCGGCGTCCACCCAGATAGGCCGGCACGCTCAGACGTGCGCGTTTCCCCAAACAGTGCTTGCACTTCGGGTTTCTTACCTACTTCTGTTCAAGCGACTTTGGCTGGTGTGTATGTCTGGCGGCGCCGCCTCGTCGCCGCCCGTCGTCTAGGCCTGTGTGGCGGTTGGGCGGTTATGTAGCCGCAGTCGCCGACCCGTCGCCGCCTCGTCGCCGCGCGTCGTCTGTGCGGGTGTGGCGGTCTGGCGGCTACGTTGTCGCCGTCGCAGCCTCGTCGCCACCCTAGATCGCACAACACAGATTGCACCGCGTAACACCACACATATTGCACCGCATCGATCCTTCTTTCTAACAAGAGAAATAGACTACCCTCGCCGTTATCGGTTCCCCCCTTCGTATTGCAATTTGCACATGATTTTGCCCCGTCGTCCATCCTGAATGTAACTCGTACCATCCCAGGGGAACTGGTATCGGTCCCCCCCGCCATGTTCTGCAACAAAAATTCTACGCGTGCGCACTCGTTGATCACAAATCATAAGCTGTCAAGAATCCTTTGCAACAAATGGGACGAAATGCACACGCGCGCGTCGTCGCGCGCGCATGACGAAATCCTTCCAAAAACTTCGGTTTCGCAATGATTCCAAAATCGAGTGTCTAAAAAAACATATAACAACAAAGTTTCGCAACACGTATCTTCAAGAAAAGCTTGCGCGCGCGCTCTTGCGGATTGTTTAAGAAATCTATACGTTCTCAGCATTTTCACAGAATGCCACCAAACGGGCTTCACGCGCGCGCGTGTCGAACTCGTTCGCACGCCCTTGCGCGCGTGCTGGGGTGGCACGCTCCGTGCCAAATAATACCGTGCGGGCCACTCTCGCGCGTCTGCCGCGCGCGCATGCGAACTCCTTCCAAAACGTTCATCACCGACGCGAAGGCGCCGTCATGGTCGTCGGCGTGATCAGCATCGGCGCCGTCACTGGCTGCCCCGCCGTCGTTGTCAGCATCGCCACCAGCATCGCTATTATCATCATCGTGTCTACCGCTGTCGACGCTGCCATGATACCGCGCCCGCCCAAGTTGACGACTCGCACTGAAGTGCCCGCTAAGATGTGCCGAGTGGTCAGCGCCACCGCGTTCGCGTCGGTCGCGTCAAACCAGCTGGCCGCTGCGCGCGCGAGCATGCGAGGGCTAGCGCGGCCGCAGAGATGCATCAGCAAACACCAAGCACTCGTCGCGATCGCTTCCGCATGGGTTTTGCGAACCAAGTTGCGAGTGGGTGGGTTGGGTGATTGCGCGAGCAGTGGAGGCGACAACTTCAAGTTCGGCAAGGTGAATTGCACGACATATGTTGCATCACATCGATGTCACCTCATACGAGTAGGCTTTGCATACATTGAAAGATTTACGCTGCACCTCGTATACAGGTCAACATATTGCATATCTTAGATGGCGCAGTACATATTGCACAACACGTACTCACCACCTATAATTCCCCACATAGATTGCGCCACAGATCTTGCACGACATATATTGCACAGCATATATTGCACCACTAATTGCACCACTAATTGCACCGCATAAGTAGCACAGACTGCACAGCATGTGCTGGATCGCATATTATGCACAGTACATGAATTGCACAGCCTGTTCTCCGTTCCCAAAATCAATGAGGATCCATCTCGGGGGATGTGCAGTTTACACATGGATCTGCCACATTGTCCACCCTAAGTATGAGTTCGTGCCATCCCGGCCAGGCCAGAGTTGCCCCCCTCTCATCCTCTGCAACAAGTAC